ACGGAGGAAGGAGCCAAGGGCAGGTGCGCCCAAGACGGGCTGGCAGAGGTGAAGCCTGTCCCCTCTGCGATTCCCCATCAGAGCTGCTGTACTGGCTTTGGGGGCAGGGGACCCTGGGGATGAATGTCAGCACCTCTCTACGAGCAACTCAATTTTCATCCTGGAGCCTCAGTCTCCTTCTCCATAAAATGGGTATAATAGTACCTGCTCATAATACTTGAGGAGATCGGGGCACTAAGCAACCAGCAGCACCTGGCTCAGAGCTGCCAGCAACTCCCTAAGTGGTAGCTATTGTTGTTGTTCATGGGTTTTGTTAGTTTAACAGACTAGTCCACCTGTTCAAATCTCTGCTCTTTGGTAGCTCATCCTGCCCTCTGTTCTAGGGAGCCTTAGTCTGTTTAGGCTGCCATAACAAAATAGCATAGACTTTGCGCTTATAAATAAGCATTTACTTATCACAGTTCTAAAGGCTGGAGGTTCAAGATCATAGCACTGGTAGATTTGGTGTGTGGTGAAAACCTGCTTCCTGGTTCACTGATGGTGGCTTTCTCTCTGCATCCTCACATGGTGGCAGCTGGGGGAAGGACTTCTCTGGGGTTTCTTTTATAAGGGCACCAATCCATCATGATAACTCTGCTATCATGACTTCATTGCCTCCCAAAGTTCCCACTGCCATAATCACCACCTTGGGGGGTAGGATTTCAACATGTGAATTAGGGGGGAGGACGCAAACATTCAGACCATAGCAGGACCTGGGAGGGGGCTGATCACAGTGTAAAGAGAGGAGAGGACTATATTCCCCAGGACCTAATCTGTCCTCCGTACCAGCCCATCTTTCTTCTGAGAAATTTCTGAGCACTTACCATGTTCCAGACATCTCACTGGACACTTGGATTGACACACTCCTATTGCAAAAACATCACTGAGCACCTACTATGTGCCAGGGCCTATACTAATGCTGGATACCCAGAGATGAACAATGAACAATGAGAGATTCCTTCCGTCAAGGAGCCCACAGTCTAACAAGGGAAACACATATGGACAGTGATAGAACATGGTAAGTGCTTCAATTCATTCCATTTCTTATTTTAAATAAGAGTCACCAAGCTCTTAGTATATATTAAACACTGTGCTGGGTGTTGTGGGGTATTACAGTTGGTAAAACAATGCCTCTGCCCTTAAGGGACTCTGAGTCCATGAGGAAACTGAGAAAGTAACCAGCAAACATTCAGGAGGGTTTGAAATACCCAGATGGCCATATGCACAAGGCCCTGGGGCCCTGAGGAATTAGGTGTGAGGGATTATGGAAAACTTCCTGGTGGGGGTGACTCCTTTACTGAGGCTCTGAGGGTGGGCAGAAGTTGGGGAATCCTTCCAGGGATTTCTGGGAGACTTCCAGGGCTCTTGCCACTGACAAAAGCACCTTGGCTGTCTTGAAGGAGCACTGAAGGGCAGGGCTGAGGAGACGTTTCTTAGAGAGGGGGCTACCTGAGCTAGGTCCTGAAGCATGAGTAGGGGCTCAGGCGGCTGAGGTAAGGGAGGACATTCATACAGAAGGAATTGCATGTGCAAAGGCAGAAGGCTGCAGGGAGTCACTTGCAAGAAATCCAGTTGGGAGGTAAGCTGGTGGCAGCCCTAAGAAGGCTTCTTAGATACTAAGAGTTTTAAGAACCTGGTCCTAGGTGACAGGACCCAACGACGGACTCAGGGTCAAGGTCAGATAAGGGTTATGAGAAAGCTAATCCTCTGGAGATGGGATAAGGAGGAAGGGAAAGATGTCAATTTGTTAGGAAGGAAGGAAGGAAGGAAGGAAGGGAAAAAAGAAAAGAAAGAAAAGAAAGGAAAAGAGAAAAGAAAGGAAAAGAAAAGGAAGAGGAAGGAAGGAGGAAAGAAAGGAAGGAAGGAAAGGAAGGAAGGAAGAGATAAATGAATGAATGGATCAGACCTTGGACTCACCTTGACACTTACTTAAAAGTTCAGGGCACAAATCTTCCCAAATGTCCAACAAACAGCCTCCCAGCAGTTGCAGGGCCCTTCCACAGAAGAACCGGGGCACGGTGCCCAGTAGCATCCATCATACCCAGAGACAGAACCAGCAAGGTCTGTGTACACCCAGCCTTCACTCGGTTGGCTGTGCTGCAGTAGAATGCTGGCTCTCAGATCCCCAGTCTAGTAAGAAGGAGGCAATTATAACCCAGGGAGCCACAGCAGGACATGCAGCGATGAGAGGTAGCATCAGGGAAACCTCAGAGTCTGACCTGGGAAAGGTCAGCAGTCTGCCACCCAAATGACTCTGGGCTCAGGGGGCCACCTCCATCCCCGGAGACTTCCCTGTGCCCAATGACTTCAGCTGGGCTCTCCCAGAAGCAGACCCCAAGATAAAGATTTAAGGACAGGTCATTCATTTTTATCTGAGAGGTGTCCCCAGGCAGCGCCAGTGCCCTACTGTGGGAACGCAGGGCAGGCCAGGGAAGGCAGCTGTGGATGGCAGGGCCTCCAGTGCATGGGGAACCCTGAGAGCCTGGTACACTCCTCTGAGGTGTACCAACCCAGGGAGAGGAGCTGGAGTAGCTATCCATCCACCTCTGTCCATCCAGAGCTGCTTGAGAGCTGTTCCTAGGGGCTCCTAGTCTGCATAAACGCACCTGCTTACCACAGCAGTTCTGGTCACCCTTGTAACTGTAAGAGAAATGGCTCCAATAATTGTTGAATGTCTCTCTCCTACACAGAGTAGAATCTTCCTGAGGGTAGAGGCAGCATCGCCACTTTCTCCCTGGGACCGAATTCAGTGTCTGGCACATAACAAGGTGTTCAAGATTATTAAGTATCTACTGAATAAATGTGATTTGGAGGCTGAGAAATTCATGGCACATGCCCACTTCTGTCTGAAAACCTTCTCTAGCCTCCTCCTCTCCACAGCCCCCCACCCTTGTACAGCAGAGCCGACAAGTTGTTTCCCTGCATCTGTATCGACATCTATATCATCTATGTCTATAATCTATATCTAATTTTGCCTTCTTTTAGAGCAATATAAACCCCAATATTTAACCTTGCCAGTGACTGCTGGCAAGGTTAAATATATTTAACCTTTATTTAAAAATAAAGAGAGCTTTTCCCAGCCCCGTGTACAGCTAGGACTGCCCATGCATCTAAATTCTGACCAGTGGGGGTGCCTGGGTGGCTCAGTTGGTTAAGCATCTGCCTTTGGCTCAGGCCATGATCCCAGGGTCCTGGCATGGAGCCGTGCGAGGGGCTCTCAGCTTAATGGGGAGTCTGCTTCTCCCTCTGCTCCCCGCAATGCTCTCTATCTCAAATAAATAAATTAAATTAAAAAAAATTTTTAAAAATGGGTGCGGACCAATGGGTGCAGAACTGACAATTGCCACTTTCAGGATGAGCCCTTACTCATGGAGGCGTACCCCTCCTACTCCCCTTTCTCCTTCGGGCTGGCTGGAATTTGGATATCATGGTGGGAGCTGGAGCAACCCCCTTGGATCTTTTAGTGGAAGACTTGGGCCATGAGAATGGTGGAAGCTAGAAGAACAGGGGGAACCCTAATGATCAGGGAGCCACTGCTCCAGCCCTAGGGTGAACCTCTGGTCTTGTACATGAGAGCCCTTGGTTACACCATTGCTATTTGGGGTTTTCTGTCGAGTGTAGCTGAACAGGCTCGTAATCCTAAGTGAGACCCCGGAAGGAGACTGTAGACTGCCTTCTGGGCAGGGGAGGGAAGACATGACTCCCAGGTAGTGGAAGTAGAGCTTGCTGGAGTGGATGATCCCTCTGGCGGAAAGGAAGCCCCTGGCTCCTCCCACTGGCTGTCTCCGCCCCCCTCCCCCTTCTCTATCCCCATCCCCGCCAACTTCCCTCAGGGCTTCCAGAAGTTCTTTCTCCCAGAACAGCAGTTACTCTCACAGACTCTCTTTCCCTTCGGGATGCTCCAGACATCCCCCCCTATGGTGAGTCCAGGACTGCGTGCTGCTGCCACCCCCCTTCCCAACAGTGACATCAAAGTTCCTCTGGGGCTAGGGCAATCCTCTCTTCCCACCCCTACTCCATAAGGGCATCAGGGAAGTAAAGTCTACACAGTTTTCTGCAGCCTGGCTGTAAGAAGGGAATCTGAGGGTAGCCTGTGCACTACCCGCCGCCCCCCAAACCCTGCCCACACTGTGTTTGGAGGATGAGAAGTGAATCTAAAGGCAGGTAAAATAGAGTCCCTACAAAGCGGGTGACAAAGATACAGGAGGCACAGGGAACAGCCATGGGCCCACGTTGGCCCAGGGACACACGGTTCTAAGAGCCTAGTGATTCAGAACAAGGGCCGTGGGGGCTGCAGGAGTGGGAGGAAAACTCTAGACCCTCCACTAAGGGCTCCACCGATCCATTTGTCCTGGTCTCTCTGCTCTTCTCCCAACCTTTAGTTCTCCCGGGGCGACCCTCCAGATATAGCTCGGGAATGAGGAGAGGTCTTGGGGCGGGGTAACCCCGCACGGCGGCTCTTTCTTATACTAGTCACCAACAGCTCTTGGGGTTACACGAAACTAACCGGAAATGGGAGGGGTCTTACGGGTAGTGTGACCTTGGACAAGTCCCAAGCGCTGGTCCAGCCTCAGTTTCTTCTGGGGTAGCCTGAATGGGGGGGGGGGGGGTCTGGCTTTCCTTAGCCAGAGGAACTTGGGGGAACCTGGGGTAGGCTGGGGGGCGGGGGGTGGGGGGACGAGGGCACCCGCGGCGCTGGGTGCTGGTGGCAGGCTCCTGCGCTTCTCAGCCCGACGGGTCCTCTCCCGGAGCGCAGCGCCGGATGCCGGCGGCCGGGGTCCGACAGGTGAGAGGTGGAGGCCCCCGGCGGCGGGGGCGGAAAACGCGGGACCCCGCCGGCCCCTCCCGCGGGCGGGGCAGCCCCGCGTCGGCTCCTCCCCCGGCGCCGCCGGCCGCCGGGGATCAGTCGCCGCGCGCGGTTCCGCAGGTGGCAGCGATGGCCCGGTCCTGAGCCTCCCGCCATGGCTCGCGCCCCCAGCCCGCTCTGCCTGGCGCTGCTGCTGCTCGGGGCGGTGGGCAGGGTCGGCCCCCGCCCCCAGGTGAGACCCGTGGCCCCCAGGGGTAGGGAGAGAAGGCGGGGGGCCCTGAGGGCTGCGGGCGCCGGGTCCCGGCAGGGGTGGCCGGGACTTGAGTGAAACTCCGCGACCGCGGGCGGAGGGAACCAAAGCCCTGGGGGGCGGAGTAGGCACTGGAGAGTTGGGCGCCCTGAGTCGGGGGCTTGGACGGCGGCCGGAGGTGGAGGCTCGGACGGCGGCCGCGCCCCCTCCCTCGCCGCCCCTGCCCCGCACCCCAAAACAGGCCACCAGCTGCCCGCAGCCGCCTTGCGCTGACTTCTGCGCCGCATCTCCCCAGACCACTTTCCCAACTCATGCTCCTCGCAGACTCGTGCCCGCGGCCCTGGCACGGCCCCGGCTCGTCCCCTTCCCTGACCTCACCTCTCCCACCACGTCCCTGAGCCCTCCCCGCAGTGCCTGCCCCTAGCCCACCCCTCTCCGCTAATCAAAGACCCCAAAAGGCTCCGGGAAGACGGAGAGGGCCAGGGTGTGGACACCCAGCTCCATTACCCCCTCACCAGCCCCCCAGCACAGCCTTTGACTCATAGCCCCAGGGACCCTGCGGTGGCAGCTGGTTGTCCTTCTTTCTAACCTCCCAGATGGAACTTGAGTGCCTCCTCCCCCAGCCCCTGCGGCAAACACGTAAGGAGGCTCCCAGCGCCTCTGGGAGCAGCCGGGTCCCCCTTACACACTTGTGTGATCCCCCATTCTGACTAACCTGGTTGACAACATATACCAGAAGGCATACTGGGACACTCAGAGAACACCTTGGTCCCCTGGATGCCACTGGGGAGCAGACGGCAGATAGACCCCTGCAGCCCCTCTCTGTGGCTCTCATTGCCCTCCCTGCCTTTCCCATCTGCAGGCTCCTGGGCTGGGGGCTGTAGCCAGCCTGCTGGCAGAGTGGGGAGTTGTCCCAAGATGTTGTGAGTCGCTAGAGCAGAGAGGAGGCGCAGGCTTGGGTGGCCTGTCTGGTGTCAAGGGAAATATCTCTTCTTGCTGCCTCTGGTTCCTACCCCCGGACCTGAAGAACTGAGAGCTTTGGGAGTGGAGCTGTACAGGCCTTGGAATTTGTCCCAGCACGGGTGGGGGACATGGTGAGGGGCCATTGCCTTGGTAAAGGCTGACTTGAGCCTGGCTGAGAATCCAGATGTGGACAGATGTGCCAGCCCATTTCAGCCCCCCAACCCCAAATTATTTTCCAGACTCGTTCCTTCCCTCTACCTGTCCCCCAGCCCAGCTACTGACCCTAGCCACAGGAGACACCCCGGCTTCCCCAGCACTTTCCCACAGTCCCTCAGCCAGGCCTTGACTTCCCTGGTGTACTTGGCATCTCTCAGGAGCCAGGACTGCAGACACATTAGCATGACGGCCTCTCGGTCTCATCTTTACTGCCTCCGAGTTGGGACTGGGACTGGATGGGGGTGGAAAGCCTTCCGGCCACCTCCTATCCTGCTCCAGGCAGGTTTGCAGACCTGGTTTGGACTGAGGGAAGAGGGCAGGTTCTGGAGGCTGCCTGTCTTCTCCCCAAAATTCCTTTTCCCAGAGGAATCTGGTTCCTTGAACCTGCCCTTACTTCTGATCCCCTCACTCCTCAGCCCTGGGTCAGTGCAAAAGCCAACTATCCTGGAGCCTAACAGGCCTGGGAGGGCAGAGCAGGACAGGAGGAGCTAGGCTCTGAGCAAGGAGATGGAACTTTCCAGGGCTGTTCTTGTTGCGGGGGTGGGGGGGGGGGCGGAGGGACTGAGCCTCCCTGGCCACCACAGAGATCTGAGCAAAGGGGCTTTGAGGTTAGACTGCAGTCCTGTGACACAACCTTATGCCCATGTAGAGCACTCTAGAAATGGGTGAATTTTGCTTTCTGTTTTCTGTTCCTGAGGTCAGCAAGACTAGGGGTATGCAGACACAGAGAGAAAAACGGGTGAGAGGCTGGGCTGGTGCCTCAAACCTGCTTCCTGGAAGGAAGAACACAGAGTAAGCTGTCCACTGTCAGATCTGGCTAGGCTGGAAGTGGCTTCTTTGCAGGCAGGTGGATGGCCAAATTGACCTCTAAAGAAGGGGGCCTAGGCCACTCCTTCACTGTTGCTGAAAGGACCACCCCCTTCCCCTATTCCTTACCTCCCTAGGACCCCTGTGAGGGAGCTGGTCTATGAGGAGACAGGCAAGCCTCTGAGACCCAAAATGAGAACCAGCCAAACCTGTGTTCAAATCTCAGGTCTGCTCTTAGCTGGTGATCTTGGATAGGACAATGACCATCCCAAACCTCAGTGTCCTTCCTTGTCTCTAAGCAGGAATCACAACCTCTACCACAAAAAGTTATGGAGAGGACTGAGCTACTGGAACCCTGAAATGGCAGCTTTAGGCACATGGGGGAGCTGACCCATTTGTCCTCCAGAATCTGGAAGCCTTCTTCAGAGCAGCCTAGGGCTTGGAGAGAGGCTGTGGGAGGCCTGAGACTCCACATTCTAGTGAAGGGTGGAGGGAGTCCGGGGTGCACAGCGGTCAGCATGGACTTTGTTCTGAGCTGGGCTCCCTCCCGGACACGGATCCCAGGTGGGAGCTGGGACAGGAGCCACCAAGAAACCACATCCTGCCCTCCAATTCCTTGCTCTGAGGAAAAATAGGCCCTTCCTTAGCTGCAGCCTGGCCCTAGGCAGATTCCTCTGGGTGTGTGTGTGAGAGTGTGTGTGTGTGATAGAGAGACACAGAAATACAGAGATAGAGACAGGTAGAGAGACATGGAAAGTGAGAGACCAGGGGGAGGAGGGTGTAGGTTTTATGAGCCCCTGTTTCTGTGTGTACGTGCGTGTGATCCTGTGTGTGGCAGTCCGCTGGTGTGCGAGTCACGTGTGTGAAACATCTCAGCGTGTAATTGTGTGTCCAACAGTGTATATGTGTTTGCAACCCCATGTGTGATACCGTGTCTATGGGAAGGTCTATATGTGTGTGTGTGAGAGACAGAGAGATTTTTGTGTAAATGGGTGTTTGCCGGGATGTGCCAGCATGTGGGTGAGAGAGAGTGTGCTTATGACAGAGTGTGTGTTTCTCTGTGTACGTGTGTGTGACTGCGTGGGTCGAGTATATGTCAGTCAAGAAGGCGGTGTGTGTGTATGCGCACGCGTGTGTTGGGGGCAGTGTCTCAGCATGTGAGTGTGTACCTGACAACCTGTGTGTGTGTTTGTGTGGAGGGGGGAGACTGTCATGTAAGCATGTGCTTAACGGTGTGCATGATAATGTGTGTGACAGTATATCTGTGTGAGGGTTCCCGAGCATATGACACTGCGGGTCAGTTTTCTTTTCCCTGCCCTCTGCTCATGTATCTGGAGCCCTTAAGAAAAAAAATAATGAGGTCAAGGAGCCACGGGTTGGCAGCCCCCACCCTTCCTGGGCACAGGGGCCAGGGTGATGGTTTGGGCAATGGGAGGTGGACAGAGAGGAAGGAGGCTGGGGATGTGGGGCGGAACTGCTGGGGAAGGTAGGGGCCGCATCATTTGGGAGGTCCCAGAGGTGTCTTGTGGATCTCTCTTTCTCCTTTGGGGTCCTCTCCCGTTTTTCCTACCTCGGTGGCCCAGAGAGGCCAAGGTCTTGTTCCTCCTTCCCTCAATCAAAAAGGTTCCCAGAAAAGGAAGGAACTTAATTTACACTGAGAAACAAAACTGAAGGAGGAATTTTTTTTAGGTTGGCACCCAGTCTTGGAGACCGAGTGCCTAACTGGGGAAAAGGGAAGACTCTGTCACCTTGAGAGCATCCATTCCATCTTCATCCTTCCCTGACTGACTTTCCTTCTATCGCTGCCCACCGGTACAGGGCTGGAGAATTCAAAAAGATATTCACCTACTTTATGTTGCTGGATCTGTACAGTAACTCTTTGGGAAGAGCAATACGCCCATTTTATAGATGAGAAAACTGAGGCCCCAAAGGATTAAAGTGAATCCTGTCAATCCCACATTAACAGCCAGAACTGGGATTTTAAACCCAGGACTTGTGGCTCTCTGTCCAGTGCTCTCTCCAGCACGCCACTCTCTCTTGGCATCCTCTTTCTCACCTCCTGCTTCCTCCCGAAACTCCTGAATCTGAGAGATGCCCCTCTTTATTATAACCTCCACTGGGCATTGTCTCCATTTTCTCCCCTCATCCCCTTCAGAGAGATCTCACAAAGCCTGGCAAGTCCGGATTCTAAAACCTTCCAAGCTGCCCTCACCCGGCCCCATAGCCCCCACCGCTGCCCTCTTCTCTGGGCCATCCCTGCTGTCTCCACGACCGTGTCCTTCCCATCAGCAGCACCCGCAGTTCCGCCTCATCAGTCTTGGAGCGGGGACTCATGCCAGAGGAGGGTGAAATGGGGCTGGGGGCTGCGGGACAGGGCCTGCCACTTCTCACGGTTTCTTGCCCACGGACGTCGAGTCCTGAGCCTCCCCACATGGGTTTGCAGCTGGAAGCTGCCACACACTAAGCAGAATGACTGGTCCTTGGCAGGAAAATGTGTTCATTTTCTCCTGGGAGATTGCTGATCCTGGAAGTGAGGGAGGGGTAGCGCCCAGACTCCCCAGGAGGCCAGGCTGCCCTGTCCACTCTCTCTTTCCCTTCTCTTGTAAACAGCAGAAGTCCAGCCCAGAGGAGGGCTGCATTGGCTGTATATTTTCCATGGGCCAGGGGCCCTTCTAAGCATTAACTCACTTTTAATTCTCACAACAATCCTGGGGGCAGGGGATAGGTAGGGACTACTATTATTCCCATTTTGCACACATCTAAGCTGAGGCTAGAAGTTAAAACTCTTGCACAGGGTAACAAACTTAATCTGTGGGGGAGTCAGGGCTGGGCCTGGATCTGAGCCCAAAGCCAGGGCTGTTCACCCTCCACGGTGTTACTGAGTTCACCTGAGCACTGGGGCTCTGCTTACTGCTGGTCACCGGCTTTGTCCCAGACCAGAGTCTCATATCTACCCCAGTCCTGGCCCCTGCTCTCTCCCTGGCCCAGAAATTTCTTTGGAACACCAGTCCAAGGCCTTTCTCTGCTGACAGGAACTGTCCCCACCTCTGCATTTTGGTTCCTGCTGGGCCGTCCTGCTGAAATGCCCATCCTCCAAACTTGCTAGCCCAGTGTCTTCCTCAGCTCACAGTCCCCAGAGTCCCCTAGAACTGAGTCTACACTGAACCTGGCCCCAACCACCCCCTGAGCGCTTTCACCCCTGCTTTCTCTGTGATGTCCTGCTAAGCCCTTGACCTGACCCACCCCCAAGTAGCCTGAGGTCTGTTTCAGGCTAGGGCTCTGCCTTTCCTCTATGTGTTCCCCATCTCCCTCATGCTCCCAGAGCCTGGCACAATATGACTTCCATAAACACCAGATGGGGGAGAGGCCAGAGGTCCTGGTAGTTTGTGCTATATGTGCAGTGGGGGGAGGGAGGGGGAGGGAAAAGTGCAGTGAGGAGTTTTTGGAGACCCTGGGCTCGTGTGGGAAGAAGACAGAGGACTCAGATTGTCAGGCAGCTCTCTCTCTCAGGGGAGAGATATTCCCTGCCCTCAGGGAGCCCCAGTCTGAGGGGGAGACCCAGCCCTGCCCTTGGGGAGCCCCAGTCTGAGGGAAGACACAGCCCTACCTCAGAAGGCCCCAGTGTGAGGTGGGGGAGATACAGTCTTGCCCTCAGGGAATCTTAGTCTGAAGATAGTTTTATATCAGAAACTCTGCTCAGAGCAGGTGACAGGGCTCCCTCTGTCTTGAAACGCTCTGGAGTGTTTGTGACCGGGTTCGCCATCATGGTGCTGTCCTTAGCCTTTAACCTCATTCCTATTCATACCCTGAGACTTCTGGTTTCCATAAGCTTCCTTTTCCCCACTCCCTGCCCTAGACACACCTGCCCCATTTCCCAGCTCTGACCGTGACCTTGTTTCCTTCCTGCTTTCCTTCTAGAAAGGGAGATCAAGGAGAATTTCTTCCCAGTCTTTCTGCCCTTTTACCACCAGCTGCTGCGTTGGGAGTCCAGGGATGGGGATAGAAGGAAAAGGGGTGGAGAGTGGGGTTGATCCACTGGGACTGGCTATAGTGAAAATTCTACTGACCTTTCTGTTGTAGCTAAAAATCAAGACACTGCCTTGACTACTGTTGTGTTTTATTCCTTGTTCTTTTATTTGTTTTTTAAAACAAATCACTTGACCTTTGCCCTAAGAAGAGCTCCTTCAGGTGACACTACTTGTAGCCTCAGCACACTAACTCCTAGAACACGGCTGGGGCTCTAGCAAGCCTGGTCCCCTTCCAGAAGCTTCCACTGTGGGCAGGGATGAGCACAGGACAACCTGTGTCTTTATGGGAGGTGTCCTATAAACCAGGACTCAGCTTAAACCAGGGCAAGATTACCCAAAACCAGATCTAGCATGTGCTTAGGGCACCACCACCAAGTCAAGGGTACAAGCTTCTAAAAAGTAGCTATTTTGATTTCAGCACACGTGTATATTTTTGTGATTTCAAAAAGCGAAATTTTGTTTTCAATTATGTATGAACCTTAAATTTTGTGCAAGGGGCTCCCTGGTCATTTCAGCATCGGCAGCCTCCAAATGAGGAGTATTTAGAATCTTAAGCCTGTTCAGGAAAAAAATACAAAGAAAAAAGGAACACCGTCCCTGGACCTATCTTAAAGGAGTGAACAAAAATTTCTTTTTTTTCTCAGAAGGGTCATTTCTCACATGGGTGGGTCTGCTTGGGTCTCTGTGCTAAAAAGCCTGTTGTGTCTACCTTACCTAAAACTTGAGGTTCATGTCCCCCTTCCTCACAGATAGGGGGACCCATCCCATTGCAAGCCTGAGCTCCTTTTTCTGGTACTTTTGTGACCCCATGTCCTCAGGACTTCTTCAGGTGGGGAAGCTGAGCTGAATATTTGATCTCTATTGTTACATTAGAAAGGGACAATGCGGGGCTGGGGGGGGGAGGTCCTGTTGGCCTCCCAGATAATGACTGTGTATTTCAGGAGAGAGGCTAATGATGTAGCCTTACCAAGCTCTGCTCCTTGGGGGACTATGTGGCTTCAACTGAGCTCCTCTCCCACTCTGGGCCAGCATGTCCCCTTCTGGAATGATTGAAAGTGCAGGAACCTTGGGGGCAGGCTGACTGGGCACTGGGAAAGGAGTCTACAGCAATCATGAAGTCTTGGGCCCTCAGGAACTCTGCCTTCTCAGTGAGGTCAGAGGAGACCATGAATGGACACCCTCTCCTCCCCCATCACCCACTCACTCCCCAAAAGCATCATTTCAGTAGATATTTGCTGACCGCTTCCTACACATCAAGGTATGCTCTTGTCTATCGGGAGGGATAAAGATGTAAAAATATCCACCTGGAGCCCCCCTGTGGTAGGACTTGCTCTGACCCCTCTTGGACATAGCCAGTGCCTGAGGGAGTTTGGGGCTCTAAGGTACCCTGGAGATGATGAAACCAAGTGTGGGGAACAGGGGGTAAGAGAGAGTGGCTGGACCCAAAGGGCCTCCATTTCTCCCCTCCCCGCACAGGGTGCCACTGTGTCCCTCTCGGAGACAGTGCAGAAATGGCGAGAATACCGACACCAGTGCCAGAGATTCCTGACTGAGGCTCCCACCCCAGCCACAGGTGAGTCCAGGTGGGATTTCCTGGAGACTTTGAAGCCCCACTCCCCAAGTCATGGCCGGGCATCGTTTGCCTCTCTAGGATGCCACATCAGCCCTAGGCCTTGGGGTGCCGTCTTATTCCTCCTTATTTTGAGAGCAGGGACCTGGCCTTTTCATTCTTGGCCTTCCTTCACACTTCCTGGCCTGTGCAGGGACTGGAGGCCCAACGAACATATTTAAAGGAAGCATTGTTTCAGAGGAGTTTGTGGGGTGGTCTAAAGGGCAGAGGATTGGAGCCAGATAGGCCTAGGTTCAAATCCTGGCCCTGTGATCATAGGGCCGTGACCACAGGCAGGTTATTCTAGTCCCATGAGCTACCGTTTTCCACCTCGCCTGAGACGGAGACTTTAAGAGCACTTACGTACCATGCACAGGGATGGCACAGGGATCCATGTGACATAACACTGTTGGTCCCCAAAAGGCCCTGTGGGCTCAGGATCAACCCCATTTCACAGATGAGAAACTAGACAGTAAGTAACTTGCTCCAAGTTCCATGGCTGCTCGGGGCCCGAGTCCCCTTGCACAGCACCTGCCAGGTGGGAAGAGCGCCGGGCATACAGTGAGTGCCCGAAGAGCTTAGCAGGGCACAGGTTGGGGCCCATCAGCCTCCACAGCGGGGAGTGGGGAGGAGTGCCACTAGCAGGCCAGGCAGGAACTCAGAGACTCTCTCTTCTGTCCCCAGGTCTGTTCTGCAATCGGACCTTCGATGAGTATGCCTGCTGGCCAGACGGGCTGCCAGGCTCGTTCGTGAATGTCAGCTGCCCCTGGTACCTGCCCTGGGCCAGCAGTGGTGAGTCCTCTCTCCGAGGTGGAGTTGGAACACTGCTGCCTTTCTGCCCGACTCAGTACTCAGGACTCAGGACTCAGAAGGTGTTTAAGCCTCCTGATGGGTGTTCTCTGCCTGTCTTTCCCTGGGAGGGGGTCATGGGGAGCCTCAGGTATAGCCTAGGCTAGGGCCTGTGCTGGTGCGGGAGGAGGGGGGATACACTTGTGTGTGTGCATATGTGTATGTTCCTGTATGTGTGGCTCTGGGCATGAAGACAGGTGAGTGGCCTGGGTCTGCTGGCTGGGCACACTCCAGGGAAAGGCAGTGAGCTGCCTGCCCTCTCTACAAATGGAAGAGTTTGACTTAAGAGAGACACGTAAGCCCCCTCCATCCAGTAGTCAGGAAAGGAGCTGGGTGGGAACAGATCCTAGGGTTGGGGAGTGTGTGTGTGTGTGTGTGTGTGTGTGTGTGTGTGTGTGTGTGTAGGTATGTGTTTTGTAGGTGCCACCTACCTCGTCATGGTGCTTGGCCACCTCCTGACTACTCAGTAGTTCACTGGTCAGATGAATACAGATGAGATGAGAGCTTAGGGCAGTGGCGATGTTGTCCCTCCCCTGACCCCCCACCCCCACCGTCAGTGAGCTTCCCTCCCTAGCTCACTCCTGCCTGCAAGGGACACCCTGCCCTGGGAGAGGTATGTCTTTGGAATGCAGGGACCTACAGAGGCTGCAGGGGGTGCTCTGACTGGAGGGGTAGCCAGTGCACCCCCACTGCCACCCACCAGTCCTGGGAACCAGAGAGGTTAACAGGGGACCAGCACCCTTGCCTCAAGGAGCTCATAGTCTCAGTAAAGTAGAAAAGTCAGTCTCATAATAATAGCCAATACTTACTGACTACCTACGCTGTGCCAAGTCTGGTATCTGGTATCTGGTACCTGGTATCTGGTATCTGGTACCTCATGGTTATGCTTGTTGTACAGATGAGGCAATTGAGGCCCCAGAAAGGGGAAACTACTTGCTTCAGATGATGTAAATGGTAGACCCACCGTTTGAACCCAGACTATGCTCTTAACCACTGTGTCTTGAAGGGGCCTTCAAGCAGAAGCCAGCCCAGAAGCAAGTGAGTGAATGAGGTCATACTGTGGGAATCCAGTGGTCTTCCTGGAAGAGGTGGCCCCTTGGTGGAACATCAGAGCCCCTGGTGAGGCCTGGCGGTAGACGTCCCCTCAGAACGAAGGACCGATGTCAGATGAAGCCCAGGGAGGGGGGTTGAGGAGGCTCTTTCCTTCTCAGTCTTCCCAGTACACCCACCTCCCCCCAGGGTGTGCAAGGAGAGCCAGGGCTTAGAGAGAGGCACCCACCTGGTAAGATGCAGAGTAGACCAGTGGCCTCTCCCATAGCACTTCTGTGGCCTGTTGTAAGCACTTTATATCCCTACACTCACTTACTCCTCCCATGAGCAAGGACTCTGATTATGCTCTCATTTTACAGAGGGGGGAAACTGAGGCACAGAGGTGCCAAGTGCCTTTTCCAAGCTAACAAGCTAAGGAGTAGCAGACCCAGGAATCTGTTCCAGAATCTGATTTGGAATTGGTAGAATTTCTTTCTTTCTTTCTTTTTTTTTTTTTTTTTAATTTATTTATTTGACAGAGATCACAGAGAGAGAGGAGGAAGCAGGCTCCCTGATGAGCAGGGAGCCCGATGCGGGGCTCCATCCCAGGACTCTGGGATCATGACCTGAGCCGAAGGCAGAGGCTTAACCCACTGAGCCACCTAGGGCCCCTGCAATTGGTGAAATTTCTACACCAGGCTCCCTTGAGTGTGCACACACTTGTGTGTGTGCATATGTGTATATTCCTGTGTGTGTGGCTCTGGGCATGAAGACAGGTGAGTGGCCTGGGTCTGCTGGCTGGGCACACTCCAGGGAACAGCAGTGAGCTGCCTGCCCTCCCTACAAATGAAAGAGTTGAGTCCTGCAAACTAACGGTTCTTGTCAGTGCTCTGAGTGGCTCTGGGATCCTCAGCAGACACCCGGACCTCTTTGTGCCTCAGCTCACTCGCTTGGGAGATGGGATAAAGCCAGGTGATAATGGTACGGGGAGGATTGCAAGTTCTTGAAAAACGGCTGCTGTTGAGTTTTTCCACCCACCCTACTTATCTGCCCCACCTCCCCAAATCCACAGGCTTGCCCTGCCTCCCGGAGGTTTGGGACCGGCTGCTCGGCCAGCCTGGGCTGGGCCTCTAGACCCCAGGGAGCCAGGCCCCGGACAGGGCCCATCACTCAGCACTAAGCTGCCCCCAGCTCTGCCTGCCCCTTGCGGCTCCATCCATCACCTTTAATTTTATTTGAGCAGGAAATAGGTCCTGGTGGTACCCATTTATGAGTGAACACGGTTTTATTGCTTTCTCCATGAAGATACTGGCCGCTGCCCAGGCCCCCTGCCAGGTTCCACTCCCTCCCCTGACTCACCATGCTAATTCGCTCTGTTTTCTGATGCTCAGGATCACAGGCTCTGCCTTTCTCTCTCCTCTCCCTGAGTTAGGGACCTGCAGAGCCACCCACCGTGGGCTCCCACAGCACAGTTGCCATTCCGGCTTGTCCTGCTGGTCCCCTTGGCAGCGGCCGGCCCCAGAGACTTCCCTGACACCCACCAGGCCATGTGGAAGCAGGAAGGGGCCAGAGCTGGAGTTTCTTGGGCTGATCAAGGGAATGGCCTATGGAGAAACTTGACTCCGAACGACACAGTTAGGGGTGAAGAGAAGGACCGGGGTGTCGTAGGCAGGGTCGTGGCAGGGAACACACTCAGGTGAGAATCTGAAGAGAATTTAATGGAGGGGACATTTGCTAAGGTTGGGCAGGGTTAAGGGGCCATGAAGGTGTAAAGCACCAAGGACTGTAAGAGGAGGAAGTTTAAGCATTCCTAGACCTGAGTGGAGCCTGCACAGGGCCCTGGGGCCCCATGATAGCCGGAGGTGGTGGTGATGGAGAACCCACCCAGCAGGGCTGTGGCCACAGAAAGGCCCTCCTACCTTTTACTTGTGCCTCCCACTGGGCAAACCCGTAGAGGGCAGGGGGCCCAAGCGATGCTGTCCACATAGGTCAGTCTTCTGGGGTGCACGGCAGGGCAGAGGGATATGTGACCACAGAAAGAATTAAATTCAAAAGAATGACCAGACACTCGGGTTAGGTCCATGTCAGGAGATGGGGGTGCCAGTGAGACCTCAGGGTGTGTGAGTGTGTTCATTGAGGAAAAGGGGGTGACCCCTCACCACAGGGCTGAAGAGGTCAGCTCAGCGGCTCAGGCAGTGGTGCTGCAGGAGGTCAGAGCCCCCTTTTTTAACTGGGGTATGGCATCAGGGAGGCTTCCAGAGAGAGGGGGCATCAGTGCCAGGTCTGAAAGAACAGAGAGATGGAGAAGGGGGAAGGAGGGCCCTCCGGGAGGGGAGAACAGCCAGGCATCACCTTGGAGATGGAGCTGGGGCCAGGCCTCGGGCCTCAGAGCCACCTGACATCCAGGGATAGGACACCAGCCAAACCCTTGGCTTCTGAGCCCTCTCACTCAGCATTTGGGACCCCAAAGGGCAGAAGCAGATGACTCAAGGAAGGAACGTGTTTGGAGGAGATGCCTGGCATTAATAAGACTTTGTGAGCCAGAAGGCTCGAGTGGCTGCTGAGAGCCCGTTGCCGCCCTAGGGCCATCTAGCAGCCTCGTTTACCCACAGACAGCCGATCCGCTCGTTACAAATCATTCCGGTCTAATTAGCGGCACCCCCTCCTGATCTGTACCTGTTTGTTAGTTTAGTTCTCATTATAGGAAAGTCATAAAAGGCTTTTAAGATGGCCTATAACTCACAATTCTCAGAAACTCTGACAGGTGCCTCCCTTGAGTCTTGTCAAGCCCAGGAGCTTTCTTGGCAGGCCAGCAGGCCAGTGTTGCCCCAGGGAGACCAGGGCCAGAGAGTGGCCCTGTAGGAGTGGTGGCTGAGGTGGTGTCCTGCCCCAGTCCCGGCCTCACTGAGGGAGTGCCTTCTGGAGAAACTGGGGTGGGGGCAGCGCAGGGCTTTTACCGTGACCATGTCTTAAAGGCCTCCTACACACCAGGCACTTCTCATGCTTTATCTCCTAATCCTCACACCACATACCTGGGATGCCATTACCGTTCCCATTCTACAGATGAGGAAACTGAGGCCCAGCGAGGTCTGCCTGAGGTCCCACTGCTGGTTGAAGGCAGAGCTAGGATTTGAACTTGGGTCTGTGTAGTTCAGAACCTGAGCTCTTCTGCGCCATGACTGACACACTACACCTGTCCCCCAACCCAAGCTGATAGCTTTCAGTTCCAGCCCTGCCTTTGACCCTCATTCCACTATACTGGGGAGGGCCTGGGACTCCCCACCCCGAATCTGAGCCCTCCTGTCTGTCAGCCGGGGCCTAGTAGCCCTTGCGGGCCGCTGCTGTTGCCAGGGTGCAGGAGCTAATGGATTCATGAGCAGCTCTCCACAGCCCTGAGAGCCTGCATCCACATGGAAGGGCGGCTGTTAGCTTGATTACAGATGCCGCTGCAGTTTCCGGGCGGGGAAGTGTTTAATTGGGGGTTTTATTTCCAGCACCAGGGTCCGACTTAATGAAATATCCCTGGGCCTCCTGGTGTTGACAAGACCAGAGCCAAGACCCTGGCTGTGATTTATCAGCCGCTCCTGGGCCAGATAAAGCTGAGCTGATAAGCAGGGCTGGGCACGGACCCACCCCACCTCCAGCCAAGATGGGCATCTGGGGACCAGAGGCCTGGCCAAGAATGAGTCCTGGCTTTTAATACTGGCCACTAATGAAGGCTAATTGACAGACACACTCTCATGGGCTCCCTGAGCTTCTCGGGGACGCAGTGATCCCTTGACACGGTGCCAGTCACACATCTGGGCATGTACCACCTCCCCATCTTCCGAGCTGGCCCTGGACAGAAGGCCCAAGAATGGGGCACACTGCTGGGGATCCACACTGGCCGGAGAAACTGCTGGGAGGATGCTGGGAATGTTAGCAAACCCAAGCCCAGAAGAAGGGCAGACAAGAAATGGCACGTGGCCACAGTTGACTATTAGCAAAGAGCTTGGCTGTGAACTTACGAACTCTGAATGTAGAGAGCTGGGGCTCTGGATCCTGACTCTGCTACTTCCTGGCTGGATGAACTTGGGCAAGTCACCTGGCCACTCAAAGGCTCAGTTTGTCCATCCATAAAATGGGACTTGCCACGCCTACCTTGGAATGTGGTTGTGTTGTTCAAAGTTGTCAGGCATGCCGCAGGTCAGTGTGTAGCTTGTAGAGAGGCTGTATAAGGTGCATGTGGAGAGGGAAAGCAATTGTGGGTGCACCTGTGTTACCTGTGGTATTATTAGGGTGTTATTGGCGTCACCCTACTGTGGGCTGAGGACTGGGTACAGTGGTGGTTTTTGCCCCATTGCCATATCCTCTCCCTTCCCCCTGGGCCCTCTGCCTCCTGTCTCCTCCCTTGCTGTCATGAGAATGGGTTGCCATTGAGGGCTCTGACATCATTCTCACTCCCTATGGGGTAAGCCCAGATCCTCATCACTCCTCTGACGTTATCCCGCCACTGAAGACTGGCTTGGCCTCATCTCAGAAGATTCAAGCCCTGGTGAAGAATTCCAGACATCCATGCAGCACATGAGAGAGGCACTGGGTCCTGAAAGGAACCCTCCCAGTTGCTAAAACCAGACCTTTCCCTGCCTTTGTTTTGGTCTGATTTTGTTCATAAACACACTTGAGAGCTATTGGGACTCTGCTCTTCTCATTGCTGGAAGTCCCGCCATTAGGTTGTCAGGTTTTTGTTTCTCTTCCAGGTTAAGTCTCAGAATGCAGGTCCTTCTAGAAGCAATGATGCTGCAAGCTGATTTGCCCTACTGTATTTCCAGAAACTTCTGTCTCTTCAAGAGGGCCTTGGTTCAGGGCTTGTTTATGAAGGAGAGTGGGAGAAAGGAGAAGAGTGAACAGGGAAGCAGCCGTGGGTGACTGGAGGTCGGTGGTAAGGAAGGACGAGGGTCTGACTGACAGCCCCTGCAGGTGTCTGACATACCAGGAGTGGACAGACTGGTGGTTTGTGAACCGCAAGACAAACCCCTGGTCTAGATGGTTGCGTCCCTGCTGGGCCATTTCGGGGCAGGCCCTGGGGTTGGGGGGCTCCCATCATGCACACGTGTGAACGAGTCTCTTCCCACACACAGTTCTCACTGCTGCCGCTCCACCTGGAAACTTCTGACCAGGGCTTCCTACACTTCTCCATTTTCCCTCCCTCCCTCCCTCGGCACCTTCATCTCATAGCTGGTCCTTAAAATTTTTTAGTCCTTTAGAATTTTTAAATCTTTTAAATTTCATCCTGGCTCCAGTTTCCCTCATGGATCTCCCTGGGCTAATCTAACCCTGTTTTGACCCTGGTTTCCTAGTCCTGGGGTCAGACTTCCATTTACCTCCAGAGAGGTAATGAGACGTTTTCTTCCAGGCACAGGTAAGCCCCTTATTCCCTCTCATGACCCCGCAGTGAACCCGGGGCCCGAAGCCACCGACCTCCCTGGGTAGGGGGATGGTGGGGCGTGGTAGACTTGATGTGAATGGGCATAGAGAACGTCCTATCCCCAGCTCTGCTGGGCCTGTGTTTGATCTCTCTTAGTTTGCATTTATGCCATAACTTTCTGAGGACTGTTTTTTCTGTGAGAGTCTTCATTCCCTGAAGCCAGAAACTGTGCTTCTTCCTTCAGGCTGGGAGCTCTCTGAGGACAGGGGCTGGAACTCTCCCTCCTTTCAGACCGGGAGGTCTCCAAGGACTGTCACTATCCCCAACATCCCCATTGAAGGGAGGAACTGGGTCTTCCCCCTTTGAGTGGAGTGTCCCCAAGGGCTGTGCCTCTATCATGGGTCAGGCATCTGATTGATGGTCATTTAGATATCATTTAGATCAGGCCATCTTTGAGGATAGGAGTGTGTCATTTCTATCAGATTAGGACTTCCTAAAGGCAGGGCTATGTCTCCTCCCTCAGACTAGGGCTCCCCGAGGACAGAGCCATGTCTTCCCCCTCAGACTGGAGCTCGCTGAGGCAGGGCTGTGTCTCTTCCTCCCTCTCAGCTCTGTATGCATCTGTTGCAGGGTCTGTCCTGTCTGTGGAATGTTGGAGGGAGCCAGGGACTGAGTCCCGAAAACCAGAAGTCACAGTGGGTGTCTGTGGAGCTGTCAGGTGGTCAGCGCCAGACCTTGTCAGGAGTGTGATTTCAGGCTAGAAGCATGACATGGAAATAGGCTATAGTTGTTTCATCTCAAAATCATGACTTCATCAGACTGCATCCCAGGATGGCCAAGAGGAAAAGGCTGAGGTGGGGCTGGGTGGCTGCCTTTCCTGTCCTGGGCCACATGCGCACATGACAAGACAGGAGGACCTGAGTGTGTGTGTGTGTGTGTGTGTGTGTGTGTGTGTAAGAGGTGTTGCTAACTCCTAAAGGCCAGTCCTGGGGGAGCAGGGGTGACCTTTGGGGGGGGCAGGAATGAAGGACCTGTGGCGTTGGGCCAAGGCACAGCTCGTGCGTCTCTCTGCCCAGTGCTGCAGGGCCGGGTTTACCGATTCTGCACAGCGGAGGGCCTGTGGCTGCGCCAGGACAACTCCAGCTCGCCCTGGAGGAACCTGTCAGAGTGCGAGGAGTCCAAGCGAGGGGAGAGAGTGAGTTGTAGATGGGGGCTCTGAGGCAGCGAGGGGTAGCAGGGTCACAGCATAACTGGAGCTGGGACCCCGGGCATCTGGGGGGCTGGTCTGTGGCCATCTTATCTATCCCCCTGTCTCTGGGGCCTTTGCACACCATGTTCGCTGGGCAGAGGTGATGTGTGTTCAGCCCGCTGGCCTTTGGACAAGGCCCTAGACAGCCAAGGGCCATGGCCATAGGTTATTTTCTTTCTTACTTCTGGGGTCCCTTGTGCAGCCTGGCTCAGGGCCCAGCCTCTGCCCCTGTCCCCTGGGGAAGAGGAAAGAGGGAAGGGGGAGAGGAGGGCGTGGGCTACCTCATGTGCACCATATCCCTCGTGTGCACACAGAGCTCCCCAGAGGAGCAGCTCCTGTCCTTTTCCATCATCTACACGGTGGGCTACACGCTCTCCTTCTCCGCTCTGGTCATCGCCTCGGCCATCCTCCTGAGCTTCAGGTAAGAAGTGGGGGGGGGTGGTGCTGGAGGGGCTGCTCCATGCCAATGCCCCACTCTGTCCCCAGATGAGGGAGCAGCAAACTAAAGTGACCATGCAGCAGGTTCTCCTCCTAAGAGATCTCTGGAGAGCCTGTCCCCTTCCCACATACGAGGCTGAAAACATGGACTAGGACACTGTATGCTTGGTCTAATCTCCACTCTGTAAAAGCATGCTTAGAATACTGCAAAAAAGGAAAAAAAAAAAAACAAATACCACACAAGGAATACAAAAGGCACACACCCCCAAACCTTAGTAGTGGGTGGCAGGATTAGGGGATATCCTCTCCCGTGAGCTTGCGAAGCTTAAGTAGGAATTCATTATGATTTTAGATAAGAGCTCAAGGATTTAGAGATTTGCTTGCTCTCTTTGGAGCTTATCAGCCCCATGGAAGAGGTCTTCCTATGGCTAACCTTGATGAGCCATTCCTTCCAGAGGGCCCTCTTCTTCCCACTCCCTCTGCACTTGGTGGGTGAGTGGGAGGGGCCTGGGTTCAAGGTCAGGAGGGATTTTGAGTGCAGGGACCTCAGGCCACCAGCCAGCAGAAACAGGACAGGCTTCATTCCTCTTGCTGCCCCCACTGGCACCTGGCACAGTGAATGAATGCGGGGCCACAGTCAGTGCTTAATAAATGCATTCACTCAAAAATAAAATAAATTAAAATAAATGCATTCACTCAGTGAACATTCCCCCCTTGTATTATGAAGTATTTCAGCGATCTGAAAATACAGTGGCTGCTATGGATCACTCTTGTGCTCAATACCCAGCACAGTCACGCTGCCCTGGGGGGGGTCCCTCCCTGCCACTGCCCACCACCCCCCAACCAGAGGGAACCCCCAAAGGGGCTACTTATAATTCCCCTGCATCTCTATATCTCTGCCACCTTTTTAGTATCTATGAAAATATGTAGCTGCGGGTTTTGCATATTTTTAAGGGCATGTTGTACAACCCCTTTTGCAATGTTATTTTTGGCCTGGTGTGTTTTTGTGAGATTCATTTGTGTTGATACAGGTAGTTCTGTTTCATTTATTTTAACTGTCACTCCAGACTCTGTTGTATAACATGTTACAATTTATTTGTTATCACTTTAATGGGTACTTAAGGTTTTCCATTTTTTCTTCTCCTCTGAATTACAAACCTGGCTACAAGCAACATTCTTACTTATGACCCCTTGTGTATTTCTCCCCCGGGGGTGGGGGGGTGGGGGGGTGGGGGGTGGTGGCTGGGGCGCACACCTCTGAGTAGAAACGCCTGCTCTGAACACATGATTTTATTTATTAGGTGAGGTTGCTCTCCAAAGTGGTCATATTTGCCCTCTTACCAGTAATAAATGAGAATTGCCTTTGCTTACCATCTTCACCAGTAGTTAGTATTTTTACCTAATTGTGGCTAATCTGAAGTGTGTGAAATATCTTGTGATTTTAATCGGCACAGCCCAGATTCCTAGAGGGATCAAGTATTTGCATCTGTTTCATTCTGTGAATCACTTACTCCCATCCTTTGCTTACTTTTTTTTATTGGCTTATTTGGCTTCTTCTTTACTATTTTGCCTTTCATTATATATTCTTGATCTTAATCCGGGGTATATCCTCTCTTCATCTGTGATTTATTTTCTCACTCACTTGGTGGTGGCCTTTATACCTGGAAGTCCTTAATTTTAATGAAATGAAACATATCGATGTATCCATTTTTACTGATAAAATTTATCAGTAAATGTTATTAATTGATACAGATTGATTTTGCCAATTGATTAAAAAAGACTATCAATTTTTTTTTCCCCAAAGACCAAATTCCTTTATGGTCTTGTTTAAGAAATCTTTCCTTATCCCAGGGTCATAAGTTCTGTGCATTCCTTCTGGCTCTGTAGTCCACCTGGAATTAATTTTTGTTGATGGTGAAATTAAGAGACTTAATGTTGTTTCTATATACACGTCAAGTTAATTGCTTCAGTACCGTTTATGATAGCCCATCCTTTTCCCTTTGGGTTTAGGGCGCTTACTCTGTGATGCAGCAAGAGTTATCTTTGCCTGGGTTGCTTTCTGTCATCTGTATTCTTGCCCATTGGTCTATTTATCTGTCCTATTGCCAGTATCATGAGGGCTTAACTACTATAAACTCATTGAAGACCTCAGTTCTCTTAAAGTAAAAGCCCACTTTGTGGTTCTTTACGTGTGTCTGGTGTATTTTTGGCCCTTCGTTCTTTGTATGTTTTGAGAGTTCCAGGAAAACAAAAAAACCCCAACCCTGTTGGAGTTTTTAGTATGGCTATATTGAATTTATCAGTTACAGTGGCAAGAATTGCCACTCTCAAAATAGTGAGTCTTTCTGTCCATGAACGTGGGATTTTAAGTCTTCTCTAACAATTTTAAGCAAGTTTTATTATATCCTCCATAGAGAACTTGCCCATCTTCTGTTGGACTTTTTTCTATGTAGCCAATTAAAAAATTGTAAGTGAATTTTTGAAATGTGTTTTTTAAGTGTTTATTGCTGCTCTACATAAACGCACATCAGCAACCTTGCTAGATGAACTCTCCTAATTGGTTCTAATAATTTGTGAGTAGATTATCTTGAATTCTCAATGAAGATACTCTCCCCTCTACAAATAATGACAATTTTGTTCTTTTATTTCCAATTCTTATGATTTTTTTTCCCCTTGCACTCTTCCAGCGGCCAGGATCTGGACTATGATGTTCAATAGACGTGATGATAGCTTTGTTAGGCTAGGCAATTCTTATTTATTTGAATTAGAAGGAAATGCTTATAAAATTCCTCAGTTAAGAATGATGTTTGCTCCCAGTGTGGTTCGATAGCCCTTATCAAGTTAAGAAACGCCCTTGTATTTGCAGTTAGCTATGCGTTTTTTACCTGAAAGGATATTGAAATTATGTCTAATACTTCCTGAATTCCTACCATGTGCTTCGCCCTAGCCCTCTGTGAGGCAACCTTGAGGCATGTGAGAGGTGGGTCCTTTCCTCAGGAAGTCTCTCTTGGGCCGAGGGGTCCTCACATACAAATCACTTGGCTTACACACGACTCTGTAGAAAAGAAGACGCCGTAGAAGGAAGGATAGTGTGGATGGAGGGTGGCAGTGAGCACACACCTGAAGGCTTCGTGGAGAGGCAGGACTTAACATTGGGCTGAGAATTTTCAGGGTTATGAGGAAGAAGGGCATTTTCAGAGGAAGAAAAGACAGTCCCAGAGACAGACACATGCCTGAGGGGGTTCGTTAGCTTGAGAACTGAGGCTTGTGGAGCAGACCCACCGGCCATCTTGCCAGGAAGGAGCTCTGCTTTGTCCCACAGACACCTGCACTGCACCCGGAACTACATCCACCTGAACCTGTTTGCGTCCTTCATCCTGCGAGCCCTGTCCGTCTTCATCAGGGACGCGGTCCTCAAGTGGATGTATAGCACGGCCCCCCAGCAGCACCAGTGGGATGGGCTCCTCTCCTACCAGGTGTGTGGTTCGGTCAGGAAGGGCCCCGGGGAGGGTTGCACAGTCAGGGAAGGCAGCCTCTCCCGCCCCACCCAGACCTGGCACAAAGAAACGCAAAAGCTGCCCCCACCTAGTCCTCAGGGAGCCCCCAGTCCGATGGGACAGGCAGTCCCCCCTTGGGATCCCCCAGTCTAAGGAGGTGGACCCTCTCCCTGCCCCTAAGGAGTTCTGTCTGACCCAGGAAGGGGATTTGGGAAACGGACCCAGGCTGGACTCCCAGCTCTGCTCCTTAACTAGCTGTAGAGCTTGGGGTGAGTCGCTTAACGTCTCTGGGCCTCAATTTTCTTAGCTGTAATGGGGCTAATGGCTTCTGCCACCACCGTAGTGATTCAGTGTGCTAAAGCAGGTCCAAGTTCTTAGCGCTGGCCCTGGCAAGAAGGCCTTAGCTCGCTCCTCCTGCATTCAAGGCAGGAGGGTAGAGACTGGGGCAGGATGGGGAGAGGGGCCAAGGGAGGCGGGGGGGCAGAGCTGTTGTCCCCTGGGGACCCTTTCTCCACCCCCAGGATTCTCTGGGCTGCCGCCTGGTGTTCCTGCTCATGCAGTACTGCGTGGCAGCCAACTACTACTGGCTCCTGGTGGAGGGTGTGTACCTGTACACGCTTCTGGCCTTCTCCGTCTTCTCCGAGCAGCGCATCTTCAGGCTGTATCTGAGCATAGGCTGGGGTAAGGCCCACAGTCCTTCATCTCACGCGCTCCTCCACCCCAACCTGTGGCGTGGGAAGTGGGAGACCCTGACCTCTCTCAGGACTAGCACCCTCAGGCCACCCCCAGGAAGCTGGCTTGGTACTGAGAACACACTGCTGGGCCAGTGGGGCCAGGCCTGCTGGATAACCCCAGATAATGGGACTGTGGTTACCCTCCCCTCCCCACACAACCCTTCCCACTTTATGGAAGCAGAGGCCTCCACCCTGTCTGACCAGATACACCACACACACATATACTGGCGGCCATGGCACGGTCCTCAGATAGCTCTAAGACCCTTGGGGAGGGAGCCCCAGGCCCTGAGGGAAATAGGAGAGTCCTGGAGCTCAGGGTAGGGGGTCGGGAGGTGAGTGCTGAGGGGCTGTGGCTCTGTCAGCCAATGATGACGAGGTGGGCTCCGAGGATCCTGGCAGGGCAGGGTTGGTTAGCCAGAAGCCCGCTGAGGAAGGGTGGACCGCGGATGCGCCAGGAGCCCAGCTGGAAATGTTCTAGCCAAAAAAGTTTGCGGAGAACCATTGTGTCCTTTTTTTTGCTGGAACATTTCTGGTTGTGCTTCTGCCTCTCGCCATGTGGGATTCTGATGAGGACATGGGCTGAGCCCCCCCCCCCCCCCCCCCCCCCCGGCCCCCCCCCCCCCCCCCCCCCCCCAGGACAGGGAAAACAAATGCAACAGGGAGTATTCATTTTCAGGAGCCCCCCTGGGGACAGAGCCAGAGAACCTTGCCCTCTGGCCCTTCCTAATCTGCCCATGGCCCTGCCCCCCACCTCTAGCTTGCCATTCAGTCATTCCCTACTGTCATTCCTTCCTTCCCCTGCCTCAGGTTGCTCTGACCACTCTGCCCTGACCTCTGACCTCTGGGGACTTATGGCCTCAGTCAAGGCCACGTGAAGTCCCCCTCCCATACAGTCTCCTCATCCATTCAGCCCGCTTCCTCAGGAAGCCTCCACTGGTTGTCTGGCCCTCTTAGCCTCCCTACTCCTGTCCCCTCCCTACATTCCTTTCTGTTGGTATCCATCAGCCACTTGGCTCTATATGGCCCCATTGTAGAAGGGGGCCTCTAAAGGGGGTGATCAATATCTTGAAGACACTGAGGCCCAGAGAGGGCAGGGCCTCACAGGCAGAGCAGGCCCTGGAACCAGGCCTCCTGACTCCCAGGCCCCTGGCCCCTGCTGCCTGTCATGGAAACTTCTCTGTCCTGTGCTGCCTCTTGAATCCCCTGAAGGCCCAGCTGAGCAAGCTTGGGCCCCTGCACAAGTGGGTGGGTGGGCCTGGCCTCTGGGTACAGCTCCTTGCTCCCACTCTTCCCTCCCCCAGGGCCCATCTCTCCCTGTTCTGCCTTCCTCCCCTCCTAGGCTGGGTCCGTCAACCAGGCAGAGGGCAGCTGGAGAGCCCTGCCACTAGTTGAGGGTGGGTGGCTTTACATCACTGAGGGGAGCTCTGGGAAGGCTGTCCTGAGGGTGGGGGACCATGCCTATCCATTCTGGGAAATAGCATCAGCGCTGTTCGTGCCTGTCTCCATGGCGACCTGAGGGCAGGAACAATCAGAGGGACAGTGTGATGTATGCAGAGGAGTGGGGGTGGTTGGTGGAGGGTTGGTGGGGGCACATAGCATCCTAGGGGTTTCTGAGTGGGAAATGGGGGAGGGGCGCCCATCCTTTCCTACCACCTCATGCCGTGGCTCAGGGTCTGAGGGGGCAAAGGGGTAGGACCAGGGGGACCTTCCTTCCATCTTGAGGGATTGGGATGGGAAGATACAGGGAAAGACAAAGGGGCAGGGACAGAGGACACAAAGACAGATCTGCAAAGAGCTCTGTTGTGGGGCCCGGGGACCTAGCCCATGTTGGGATGCTTGGAAACAACTTTCAGCTTCATGTGCTGGCAGAAGAATCAAAATGAAAACTCGGACTGGGGACAGCTGGGGAGTCCCCAGAAGACATGTCAGCTTCTTTAGCCATCTGCCAGCAGCGGGGTGTCCCCATAACACGCCACAAAGAGGCTGCCTGGGGGAAGGCACGTGATGGAGAAGGGAACCATTACTTCTCAGGGCCAGTCCTATGTGTCTTACTTTGGGCTTTTTCCCCCTCCAGCCTGTCTTGTTGACTTTCTAAGTAGCGGAAAGATGCAGCCGGCTGAGGGCATGTCGTGTTTGCGTGTGGTATAGCTGTGCCTGCATTTTTAAAAAGGCTTTGCTAAGGAGAGGCTGATGAGTGAGTGATGTTCGCTGGGTCTTGTTGATAACATGAGTGAGCTCCCCAATCCTGGAGTGGGGTCTCAGGGAGAAAGGTCAGCAGGTGACTGGCAATGTCCAAGAGGGAGGCATCCACAGGCGTGCGTGGCTCAGGGAACTGGCAGGTTCTTGCCAGGAGAATTCCCCTGCTCTCACTGATAAATCAATCCACTCGTCATTACTTCCTTCCATCGTCTTTGAGCATCTTCTGTGTGGCGTGCTATGTTCTGAGGCCTTTGGAAGCCACCCGTCCCTTGTGCAGTCTCACGAGGGCCTGTTGGTAAAGCATCATGGATGCTCAGAGGTCTGGCTTGTGTGACAATAAATGACCAGGGAGAAGGAGATCCGATGAAAACTGATGGTCAGCTGCTGTTTCCTCCATCCCTGTCTTCGCTATAATTCCAGGCATCTCTCCTGCTCAGGAGCTGCTCTTGGGGACATGGATCATGGCAACAAGAAAGGCTGGGGAAACGTGCTCTTGGGGGAGACCCCCTAAGGCTGCACAGGCACGGACTGCCCCCCCACCACACACTCAGATAATTGTGCGCACACCTCAGTACCCTAGCTCAGATGCCCGCATCTCCCACCCTGCGAGAAGCACCTGTAGGGACAGGCATGGGGAGCTGGTGCAGAAAGCCACTGAAGGTGGTTGGCGTGGCCGTGGGATAGCAGCCCTGCGTTCTAGGTTCTAGTCCCACCTGTCCCCTCCTGAGCTCCTGACTCATCTCCATCTGTTGTGAGGATGGGCTGTCCGTTTGAAGTCAGCAAATGTATTGAGTTCTCAGGGCGAGCCAAGCGCCGAGGCTCTGAAGATGAATGAGGCTGTCCCCTGGGGAGCAGAAGATCCCACAACTAAACTGCTGAAAGCAGCCATTCTTCTCGCAGTTGCTATGGGCGGGAATCTGGGTTCAATGGGGCTGCATGCCTCTGGGTCCAAGTCTCTAACAGGGATGCAGTCAAGCTGTCGCCCCTGGGAGGTTGTCACCACAAGTCCTCACTGGAGTTGGAGAGTCCCCCACAAACTCACTCGGGAGGCTGTCAGGAAGCACAGGCCCTTTGCTGCCTGTTGGCTGGAGGCCTCCGCCCCTCACCACAGGGGCCTCCATGGGCTCTCTGAGCACCCCCACGACCTGGCAACTGGTGTCCCCCAGAGCAAGCAATCAGATTGAGACAGAGAGCCAAGGCAAGCCTTTTCTAACCTTTTAAGACAGTGTTTTATAACCTAATCTCAGAAGTGACATGCCGTCACTTCTGCGCACGTTATCGGTCATGCAGACCGATCCTGACACGGCGTAGGCTACCCCACAGTGCGGATACCGGGGGCTAGGGGTCTCAGGGGCCCTTCCTAGAGGCATCCTGCCACACCAGCTGAGCCTCAGCTGAGTGCAGAGTGTGGACGCTGGAGCTGTTGTTACCCTGGGCCACTGCGCGGTTAGCTGGGCTCTTGGCCTCAAAGTCAGGGTCCCTACCTCCCCTCCAGGCTTCTGCTCAGCCACCTGCGGTGAGAGCAGGTAGGGCACAGGTGGCCAGAGGGGCTTCCAGTGCCTGAAGGAGTTGACTGAGTTGGGCACAAGGGCCACAGCAGAGAGAGGAGGGCATCAGAGGGTTGGCCTGTCCCCACCTCACCTGCATGTTCTCCACACTCCATGGTCTTGTCCCTCTGTTACTTGGATGTCTGCATCCTCATGCCTCAGCCATGACTTGCGGACAAGCTCTGACAGTGTGCCTGGGAGGGAGGGGCAAAGGAGTGAGGACAGATACAGCTATAACATGGTGGGATCTTCTCTCTGAGGAAGAGTCTGGTGTGTGGGGTGGGAAGTGGGTGTTCGTGCCGCCTCCGCTCTCCCATGCTCCCAGACCAGCCTAGTTCCACACCTGCTAGGAAGTGGTTTTGTGGTCAGGCAAGGGAAGGGCATGATGGCAGGAGAGGCCTGGGGAAGGAGAGGCCCCTGAGTGTGCCTGGTGCTGGCTCAGGCCTACCAGCCCCTCTCCCTCTCTCTCTCTTTCCCTCTCTCCTCTCAGGTGTTCCCCTGCTGTTTGTTATCCCTTGGGGCATTGTCAAGTACCTCTATGAGGATGAGGGGTGAGTGTTCTGCTCCTGGGTCCCCATCCTCAGATCCCACGGGATTCCTTGGCCCCTGGGGCACGTCGCTACTACCTGTTGGGAGAATATACTGAGGGACCAGGAGTTTCATTTACAGATTCAGTTCTCTAGTACCCCTTCCCTGTCCTTCCCTGGGACTGTGTGATGGCAGACAGTGCTGGGTCCAAGGAGCATGTAGTGGCTTTTCTGTAATAATTATGAAATGTCTCTGCTATTTTGTGTATAATACTAGGCACACACTTGAGTGTTTGTGGGTTCCTGAAGGGGCCATGTGTATCTTTCTGACCATGTATTTAGGACTCTGGCTGTGGGGTGTGTGTGTGTGTGTGTGTGTGTGTGTGTGTGTGTGGCTTGAAGAACTCTGTGTGAGTCTGTGAGACTGGTTGTTGGGTGGCTCATGGTGGCCGTGTCTGTGTGCCCCTGGGCCTGCTCTGTGAGCTGGGGGCTCTGTGTCTCCCTTCCCCTCCAGCTGCTGGACCAGGAACTCCAACATGAATTACTGGCTCATCATCCGGCTACCCATTCTCTTTGCCATTGGGGTGAGTGATGGTGTGGGGGCGGGCGTGGCAGTTCTGGCATCCGGAGCTGCTGCGGAAAGGCCGGGAGATTGTGGGTGTTTTGAGAGGGCCCCCAGCCGCCTCCACCTGTCTGCCCTGCAGGTGAACTTCCTCATCTTTATCCGGGTCATCTGCATTGTGGTGTCCAAGCTCAAAGCCAATGTCATGTGCAAGACGGACATCAAGTGCAGGTGATGCGCCCAAGCTCTCTCTGCAGGGTCCCCTCAGCCCTTGTTTCCGGAAGAGACAGACAGATCCTGGGGTGCTGAGCTTGGGACCCCACATGACCTTCTTCTCCCACCTGGGCCAGCCTGGGACCCCAAGCCTTGTCCTTAGCCCTGGACCTGGGCAGCTCCTGGGCTTCTGGGGGTATTGACCTCTACTTCCTCCCTGCCAGGCAGCCCAGCCCAGTGTGTCTTGGGTGGGAGTGTCTGCTGCCCCAGATGTGGGGTCGGGGCACAGAAAGGGGAAGAGTCCATTGGGAGAGATCCAGAACGATGTCTTCATCCCCACCCCCTAGACTTGCCAAGTCCACACTGACACTCATCCCTCTGCTGGGGACCCACGAGGTCGTCTTTGCCTTTGTGATGGACGAGCACGCCCGGGGGATGCTGCGCTTCATCAAGCTGTTCACAGAGCTGTCCTTCACCTCCTTCCAGGTGAGTTCATGACCTCCTCACTTGCCAGGTCGCAGAGTGACAGTGGGGTAGACTCTGGCCCACACCGTGCCGACGGGCACCTTGGGGCCCAAGGGGAAAGCAGGCTATGCCCAGAGTTCTGTGGCTGGAGCAGAGCCGGGGCTAGAATCGGCACCCGGCACCCTCACGTGGGACAAGACGCCTTCCCAGAGGCAGCCGTGGGCACCCTGCCTGGCATCACAGTGGCTGGATCCCAGGCTGTTGCTGGGTGCAGACACCTCACCAGGGGCTTTGCATACATTGTCCTTGCAGCACCCCAGGAGGTGTGCGGGTCACCCGATTTTACAGAGGGGGAAACTGAGGCTCGGAGGTGTTAAAACAAGATGTGCCACATCACATAGTTTCCAAAGCCAAGGATTCATCCTCTCCCCTAGTATTAGCTGATCCCACAGGCACAGATGTATGAGAGCTTGGTCTCAGTCCCTCAGGAGGCCTGTGGGAGGGCCACACACATGTAGGCCTATGCAAGTGATCGTCATGTATGTGTGCACACACACACACACAGATGACAGCTCTGGAGCAGCGAGTGTGCTGAGTGAGCAGACGGAGCCGTGGTGGGAAGATGGCCCATGATCAGAGGACTTCCTAGGGTCAGACCTCCTCAAGGAGGAAGAGCTTCTGCAGTATCTAAGCAAGGGGCCTTCTTGTATCTCCAGAAAGGAAAGGAGAAGGAACCCTCCACGTGGGCTCTGGGCCTGCTGGGGCTGCCCATTCTGAGGAAGTGGTTGTTGGGACTAGAGCCCCAAGGAGTTCAGGGTCTCCTGTAGGGCAACTCCTTCCCACTTCCTCCCTGATGGCGGGACTCTTGTTTCCAGGGGCTGATGGTCGCCATCTTGTACTGCTTTGTCAACAATGAGGTAAGGCCTGAGGGGGAACGGTGGGGACCCTTACGGGATGCTACCACTCTTATAGGCTGTTCTGGAGTTGTCAAGGGGGACTCCCATCCATCTTTTCAGCTGAAACCCCCTACACATCCCACTAGGCACTAGACCTGAGGAAGCATCTTGTCCATGCGTTGTTTTCTGTACATGGGTCTCTCTCTCTCTCATGCGCACACACAGGTATACCCTAATTTGTGTGAACTTGGGGAAGACCCAGCCTGGTGTGAAGGGGGTCCGGAGTGAACAGGTGATGGTTAAAAGATGATTCAACAGTAGACGTACCCAGGTCACATACTGGGGCTTTAATAATCACTATCTTATTTGTCACTGCTTCCCCCACCACCACCAAAAAAAAAAAAAAAAAAAAAATCCCTGCTAAAATTATGGTTTTAATATTCCCATTTTTCACACGTGAAATCATTGGAGATCAGAGAGAATAGGAAGCATGCCCCAGGTTTGGCCTGGAAGTGGAGGCAGAGCTGGGACTGGAATGCATTCTAACAGAAAGAGGGATGTGCCCACTGTGTGTGTGCAGGGGAGAGCCCCGCCTACCATGGCAAAGGGGTGCATTCCTATAGGGGCTTTCTGCTTGCTGGGGTGGAAGAAGGGGGCTGTTGCTAACCCCCACACCCTCTCCTCTCCTCTCCTGTGGATCCTCCTGGACCATAGCCCTCTCTGAGACCGTCAGCCCCTGGGGAGGGGTACCTGTGCCTATGGTGCCTGGGGAAGGCCCCTTCCACCCAGGTACCCAGTTTTGTGCTGGAGCAGATCAGGAGCAGCCCCATGCCATCGGACTGGGTGTCACAAATGCCACAGCACCCCCTCCCCCTTCCTTCCAGGAGGGAAACAAATGGTAATACTAGACGTGGTACCGGTGCCCTCTGGGGAAGTAGCCACAGGGGGAGGACCCCGGCAAGGAAGAGAGGGTGGGAAATCTTCCATTCCAGACTCTGGGGAGCCACTGGAGGCCTCTCTTAACTCTGTTCAGGCCCAGGTGAGGGTTTATATCTGTGAGTCTGGGGCTCAAATGACTCGAGGACACAGCTCCTCAAAGATCCTGTGCTCCTGGTGTGCCTTCTGTCACCGAGGGAGTTCGGGATCTCAAGAGTCTGCATTCGTACATTACTTTTACTTGTGCTGTGGGCATGGGGGACATGGTGGTGGCAGTGTGTAGGGACCTTGGTATTTCAGGGAGCCGTGAGATGGCTCAGAGCGCAGTGTGACGTGGTGGGACAGAGGTGGGACGTGGGCTGTGGCTTCAGGTCCCTGCTCCCATCCAGGCCCCACGGCTTAATGAACTGTGTAGCTTTGGGCAAGTCACATGCCCACAGTGGGACACCTGTCTCCTCTTTTGCAAAGTGGAGTTAATGATGCTCAGAGCACATGGATCTCTAAAAGGGAGGGAGATGCTTCCTGAAGGTTTTACTGTGTACAAGGTGCTCACAGTCTGGCTCTGGCCAGACGTGTTCTGGTAAATGCAATCTATGCAGTAGGGGCTATTGTCATTATACAGGTGAGGAAATTAAGCCTTGGCAAAATGAAATGAATAGCCCCAGTTCAACAGCTCGAAGGTGGTGGGGCTGGTGGACGGGGAGGGGTCTCCACTAATGGCTCAGCGCTGGGAAGGGGAGGCAGGGCCAGGCACAGAGTGGCCCACAGAGGCATTCCGGCCAGTCTCCGAGGGTTTACTGGGCTTTGTGTGGGGTGGGTGGGGGAAGGAGAGGAGGCCGGTGCAGAGAACACTCACAGGGGCCTTGTCCTCCAGATAGGCCCTTGCTCCACGGGAGGCACGTGAGGTACCAGCTAGCTCTTCCCCACACCTGAGCCCTCACAAAGAACTTCCTAAAGAACTGAAGAAAATGCTGAGAGACAAGGAACCGGCAGCTCCGCAGGGTAGCACTTCCCTCAGGAATGGCTCTCAGCCAGAGGGGTGGTGATGTGCCTGCTGGCCCTAGCACTGCTGCTTTACTTCCCAGGGACAGGGCAGGTTGGCAGGCGTCCCCGGTGTGGGCTGGAGTGATGAGGCTCCCTTCCGTGCCTTCTCACCTTCTCGGTCCCTCGCAGTTCCTGTTTCCCCCTCCTCCCTCCTCTTCCCCAAAGCCTTGCCGGCAGCACGTGCTTCCCCCAACACACACGCGTGCCAGCCTTCCCCACCACTTCTGCAGAAAGTCTCCTGGACCCTGGCTGAGTTTCCTCCCGGCTCTCTTCCATCACCTCCCCGCTTCATCCACCTCCCAGGGCTGGCCTAGTTTTGTCAGGAGGGAGGGTCGGGCACACATCCCACTGGATCCTTGGCAACTAATGACCCCTCAGTCACCAGATCCCCAGCTGGCCTCTCCCCTTGGACTCTCCCAGGCTCAGGCTGTGGGGTTCAGGAGACCTGAACTTGCCTTGTTCAAGTGCGCTGCCCAGTTCCTAGAGACGCCTCAGGCCCTGGCTCCTCCAGGCACCAGGACAGACATGTCACCTTCACTTGGCCATAAAAACACACGTGGCTCCTGGGCTGAGATCTCTGTCCACAAAAGCTGTTCTCCAGGCCCAGGGCTGCCATGGCAATGCCAGGTACTTGTGACCTGAAAAGATGGCCTGGACTTGGGTCCTGCCTCAGCTGCCAGGAGCGCAGACCTGGGGAGGGGAGTGGAGGGGGTGGTTCTACCATGGCTCACGTGTCCTCTCACCATGGCTTTGATTCAGAAGCCTGAGTGTCAATCCCAGATCTGCCACTATCCAGTTGTGGCACATGAGCAGTCACTTTGCCTCTTCCCCCAAGTGTAGACAGAAGTGAGTGAGCTTCACCCATTCCTCCCAAATCCCAGAGCCTGAGGTCTGGCCAGACAGGACTTCTGAGGCAGGGAGTCAGGTAAACTTAGCAGGTGAGGAGGTGTACCACCATAAGTGCAGGGACAGGTGTCTGGGACTCGTGGCATCACCCCCTCTGTTTCACTGTAGTAACTCAGTAGCACAAGGAGCCCTGTGTCAGATGCTTGTTTTGTCACTCACTCCTTCCCTCAGCTCATTTACAAAGCACATGTGGAGGGCCTGCTGTATGTGGGGCACGGCGCTAGGACTGGGGATCCAGATGAGGACAAGTTGGTCCCGGCAGAAAGGGCAGCATGGGTCAGAGCTCTGAGAAGTCCCAGGCCCGTCCCTTTTCCTGCTGGTGTCCATGAAACCACCTCAGTCCCTGAAGTAGCTTCCCACAGATGTGCCTCCATTTATCCTCCTTCTCCCCAGCCTCTGCAGTTAAGGCTGTGAGACCAGATGGGCCTCCATGCTGCTGCACAAGCAGAGGCTCCTATCCCCCTGGGGTGTCCCTGTACCTCCTGTCGGCACACTTGTCACAGGTCCCCAGCCAGGCAGTGAGCTGGCGCAGAGCAGGGCAGCTGGACGCACAGTCCGCTCCGCCTCCCGCTGGCACCCACGCCTGGGTCCCCCATGCTGCTGCCCAAGACAGCAGGGCAGTCCTGGGCAGGCAGGCTCTGGCCACCGGGCTCCACGCTGCTCTGAAGTCAGGCTCTCCCTCCTCCTCGTCTTCTCCCTCCGGCTCCGGTCTCCACATTGCTCTCACTCTTGTTCTCTTCCGTTAAACAATAGGATGGATTGTGGAGGGGACTTAGCTGAGTCACAGAGTTTAGAGATGGAAGAGACCAATTAGATCATCAACCTCATCTCTCTCCTGAGAAGAGGCGGAAAATAAGAGACAACGATAAACAGTTTTATTGGCATATTAATTTAGGCGCCCAAAGGCCTTGACTTGTGTCTCTTAATATAATGCAGTGGATATTTTTTCCCCCTTCCCTGCTAATGTAATAACGGGGCCATTTCGTGGACAATTGGTTTGCATGATGGCTGTTGTTTCCCTCCTTTTCCCATGGAAGGTCCAGCTGGAGTTTCGGAGGAGCTGGGAGCGCTGGCGGCTCAAGCACTTGCACACCCAGGGGGACAGCAGCATGAGGCCCCTCAAGTGCCCCACCAGCAGCCTGAGCAGCGGGGGCACCGTGGGCAGCAGCATCTATGCAGCCACCTGCCAGGCCTCCTGCAGCTAAGACCCCCGCACCTGCCCTCCCTGTGGTCTCGCTGCTGGCTGGCTGGCTGGCCATCCCAGGTGGGAGAGCCCCTGCCGGGGCTTGGGCGGGGTAGGGACACACGCTCGCATCCATCCCTGCTTTCCCTTCCCAAAGCCATCAGACAGGCAAACGGGCAGTGCCTCCTGGGACCCATGGCCACATTTCCTCTGTGGAGAAACAGCTCTGCTAATTTGATCACCGTGGCAGAAGGAGAGAAAAACCGATTGCTGCTGAACTGAGGAGGATTTCTTCCCATGAAGCCACCAGGCCCCTGGGGTACCCCAAGACAGAGCAGCAAATCAGCCCCGGACTCGCACTCAAGGTCAATGGCTTATTAGCGGGATTGCAGCATGCGAGAGAAGAGGCTCGTATAACCCAGCCACACAGAGCTGAGGGGACGCGAGCCAACCCTGCTTGCCTCCGGTTGGGTCACCGTCCCCACCACCTCCCCGTGAAGGGATGCTTCTCCCACGTCTGCGTTGCTTGTTCACCTTGCCCGGTCATCTCACCACCCAGCTTCTTGGCGGGGGCTTTGTCTGGGCTTCCAGCGGCAGCTGTTTCTAGAAGTGGCTGTGGGTGGTGTTGGGCGTGACAGCTGAGAAGGTGCCCGACAGGTTCCTTTGCTGGTGCCCACTTCTCCCATGGGTGCCTGCCCTGCCTGGGTGCCCACTACCCTGTGCCCAGGGAACAAGGCAGGCCTGCTGCTGAGGAGCCCAGCATTTGGGACGAGCTCTGAATTCTGTTCTAGATATGCTCCAGAACCCTCTGGGGTTCAACGAGGAAACTTCAGGACCCCCTGCACCGAGTGGTCCACTGTACCTGTAACTCTCGGGAACCCAGAGGGCTGAGAGCTTTACTTCCGCCTCTTCGGGGAAAGGCTTTTGTGACCATATTATGTATTCCGTGCAAGATAGCACGGGAGCTTGGCTGTGCCCTCTGACTTTAAGAGACTTCTGGGGTAAACTACCAGTCGCCGCTGCTACCATGGAGGCAGTCTTCCCCTATCCTTGGTTTCTTCCCCTTGAAAGTCCCCCACTTGGGAGCTTGTATATACTTGATTCATTTTTCTTTATTGCTGTGAACAGTCTGCATGTGCAAATGTGCGATTCTGATTTCCCCCACCTGATGGAAAAAAGGACGAAACCATTGTGACTGTGGTGGTGTTGGGGGGACTGGGGCATAATGGATTTGACTCAGCCACAGTTTGAGCTCATCAGTGTTTTCCCGGCCTCCGGTTTCATCCCATAAACAATGAGCAGCTGAGAGGCTGCACAGGGGAAACCTCTCAGTCCTGCCCCTGCCATGAGGAGAGGGCAGATAGGGCAGAGACCCAGACAGAAGGGAGACAGCCAGCCCAGAGAGGATGGCAATGGAGTCTGTGGATGCAAAGGAAGTTTCCAGAGTAGGAGAGAGCTTTTAAGGGAGTCCAGACCTCCTGGGAAGGTACAGGGAGTAGCTTCAAGTGAATTCCTTTATGGGTCCATCTCTCCCTCCTCCTCCTTAAGTGGTGGGGGACCCTCCCCCAAAACCTTGCACCAGACACATTTTTCTGTGCCTCTCAGAGAGGCATGTGATGTACAGGGGAAATAATAATGGGACATAAAACACATCAAGCAGAAAATTTCTTATACTTCATCTTCAGTGGAGTGTTGTATCTATGTTAATGGGGAAGTTGAACCCCAGGCTAAAGAAGAATTGTGCAGAGTTGCTCCTGGAGAAAATGTAGAGAGGTGGGGGATGTGGTAGGGGGGACCTCTGCTTCCCCGGAATAAGGGAGGATTTTCCAACAGGCCCCACTCCTTGGTTTTCTTTTCAGATAGGGGTAAAGGAGGAGATGAACACCTGTGAGTTGATGTGGGATACAATTCTGGTGCCAGTGTTTCAGTTTGGGATAAACTGGAAGATTTTGAGAATCATTAATACACTGCATAGCAAAAAAAAGAAAGAACCAGATTGATATAACTTGAGAGAAATAAATTGTTGGGGGGGGGCAGGAATTGTGGGGAGAAAGTATTTAGTTAGACACCAGGGATGCTCAAATAGTTTGGTTTAAACTGTAGGTAGAGTTCTTTTCCCAGCTGGTACTGATTCCTGATCTCCGAAGGTTCATCATACCCCCATGCTCCAAGCCTTATAACACTAAGAACCATCTCCTTCATAGATAGGTATCAGATACTGAAGAAGTATTTTCTTTGCTCCAAGACCCACACTATTAATATTCATTTGATTGGCAGTGTACTCCCACCAAACTATTCTCAAGCTCTCCTGAGCTAAATATAACTCTGAGAGATCTGGGAACACTCCCATGCCACGTATTCCCAAATTCCATTAGCTGTTTACATGCGTGACACTGAAGTGGGAAGCTTTGCACACAACTTCTCTGCCTCTGTCCTGAGGGTACGACTGCTCACCAGCAGGTGTGGACGGTGTGTATGTGTGTGTGTCTGTCCACTGCACAGCCAGCAGGGGCTGGGGACCATTGTGAAGCCATTCTGAGTTCCGCACTCTGGCCAGCTCCACTTGTTAGGGGCTTAAATCGTGTTGACCCCATCTTTACCCATGTCGATCTTTAGAACAGCTAAATCACAGAACTGAAACAAACCACTTACACTGCAAAGCTCCCTTTGAGACAACTCTCCAGATTGCCCGAATGATTTTCAGTTGCCTCAAGGCCATCCCCACCGAACCCCTACCAGCTGTGTTTTTAAAGACTCAGAGCAGGGAAAGACCGGCCCTCAATGAGATAAGTGAGGAGGGAGGCTTGCAGAGGTGACTTGGGGGAGGGAGGCTTGGCCTCCAAGTCCAGGGAGGCCTCTGGAAAGGATAGGTAAAAAACAGAAATAGCCATTCAAGATCCTCTTAGTAAAAGCCAGCAATGGGTATCTGGAATTTCTGTTAAAAAGGACTTGCAGGTTAATGGGGGGAGGGGGTTGGGGGGGGTGGGATCTGGACATTGGGGAGGGTATGTGCTATGGTGAGTGCTGTGAAGTGTGTAAACCTGGCGATTCACAGACCTGTACCCCTGGGGATAAAAAGATATTATATGTTTAAAAAAAATAAAATTAAAAAAAAAAAAAAGGACTTGCAGCTGCGAAAGGTAGGCAGGTCAGCTAGTGAACGCACCACCTCTTCAGGGACTTCTGCCTAGAGTAAGGGAAGGCTGCGCTTCATCATCTCTACTATGGTCCTTCATCCTTGTCTTAAAATGAAGAAATTGAAATGAAGCAGAGCACACACACACACACACACACACACACACACACACAGAGCAAGGGAGCCATTCTGAGTATTGACTCCAGCACTCTGGTACTGGGTTGGCTGAATGGTTTTCTGATGCGTCTGTGTTTAGTTAACAAGTTGCTCCGCCAGCCACTCAGAATGAATTAAAAGAACTGGAAAAAGGTCCAGAAGACTAGCAAACTGGGCAGCGTTAGCCTAGCAGAGATGGCACAGCCCATACAAGGGCAAGTAGAGTCTGCTCATATCTACACCCTGAAAGGCTTGGTTGCCTCATCAGCATGGGTCGTGTTTTAGCAGCTCCTGTCTCCATCCAAGGAGAGAATACTCTGGGTGTGTGTGTGTCCTGTGAGCAGCAGCATAAAGTTAGGAGATGATGAGTCTGGAATCATCTCACCCACTGTGAAGGTCATGGGACCACACAGGACAGAGCGAAGATGGGCGGGAGCCTGAGCCGTAGATGCTTCCTCTCCATGCACAGACAGGGTTCGCATTATTGCTAATGCCTGAGACGTGCTCAGGGAAGATAAAATATATTCCAGAGGTTTATTTTCCCTCCACTGAATTGATTCTAATCTACGGTGCTGACCCTGCTTTTGGCTCCTATGGGGAGCCAAACTCTATAAAAACTCTCAAATAAAATATGTCGGCTTCCTCTGCTAAGACAGCTATGTGAATGACATGCTAAGTATTTCAGTTGAAACCAAATTAGTATCAACTCAAAACCTTTTTTCCTTTCTGTTGCTGGAGCAAGGTTTTTTTTGGGAAAGAAAATGTGAGAAACTTCTGCAAACAACATTGCCATGCCCGGACAGTATTCTCTGCTGGCTCAAACCAGCTCTTTGGCCATGCTGGGAGGGCTAGAGCAGGAAGTGTTGTTAAGCAGTGTCATTCAAACACTTCATGCCACAGTGTGTCTACAGTATCTATAATTACTTCTGCTCTGTCGGTGGCTACCGATTGGCAGGAAGCAGATAAGCATAATTGTTTCCCCATTAACGACCCAGATCTCTTGGACTTTGCCTGCATTTGAATCTCTCAGAGGGGGACAGTTTTTGCTTCTCCCCTTTGGCCATTTTAGCCGGTTTCTGCGGACCTGATCCAGGGGTGCATTTTCTCTCTGATGCACCCCAGCTCCTCCCCACCCCCCACTACCTCCCTCCCGCTCACCCACCCCCACATCCTCACCATGAGCTTCCCCAGGCTCCTCCTCCACCTGACCATGTGAGGAACGCTGTTCTCTCAGCTGTGACCAATTTGGGGGTACAGCTGAGAGTGAGGCGCTGCCAGGGCTGAAATGGTGCACGGTACTCCATGCTCTGGGGGCAGTGAGGAGCATGGCAGCCAGCGGCTTGGAGCCTAACTTACACTGGGGTTTTGCAACCTTTCTGATGGAGCCTGTCAAAACCATCAGTAATTAGTCAACCTGCACAATCTAGCATGACTAATTGCCACTGTGTCAGAGCAATGTGGGAGAAGGAAAACATACACAAATGAGAGTGTTGGGATGTGCTGGGCAAAAACTGCAAGTGAAGTTTGGAACATGTAACAAGTTAGGGTCTTGGCTTCTTTGTAGGGGAGCTGGAGGGACGATGGGGGCAGGTCAGGAAGAAGCAAGATTTCCCGCAGACAGGGCTGGACCTTGCCAGACCGTTCACACTTTACTTCCAACCCTGCAGTTCTAAGCTCCTCCCACAAAACGTAATCCTGTCCTCAAGGCAGATCAACCTCAACATCCCACT